AAAAAAAAAAAAGAAAGTTAGGGTCTTATGAAATAGCATGAAGTGATTGTATTCTCTCTTTGCATCAGTTCTATACACACGCAAAAATGGAGATAAAAGCATTGAGGTAAGCTACGCTTGTTTTACACTCGAGGTAAGCTATTTTATGTGTTCAACACTCTACTTTTCTGGAAACTGGCGCTCACTCCCCTGTACCTACATGGTTTCTGCTGGAGCTACCACGATTATTCATTCAGTTATTCAACAGCTACTTACTGAGTGCCATATGTGACACTATTCCAGGCTCTGGAGACATAGCAATGAAAAAAATATACAAAAAATTCCTCATGGAGCTTACGTTCTGATGGAGGAAATAAGACATTAAACACAATAAGTAAATATTTGGTATGTCGCATAAAACGTGCTATGAGAAAAATTAAGCAGGAACGTGAACAAGGAAAGAATAAGGCACAGAGTGAGAGAAGCACTATGTTCTGTAGGTGGCCAGGAGGGACTTCATCCAGGAAGTTTTTGGAATGAGATAAAAACAGGATGGTTTAAACTAAGACTGTGGAATGAGGAGTAGAAAAAACCCAAAGCCTCTTAGAAGCAAAAAGAAGCATGAAGACACAAGAGAGTGGCAGAAAAAGAGAATGTGGGTGGAGAGAGAGAACCCAAGACAGAACTTTTCAGGTTCTGCATAATGTCCCTGTATACTATAAATCCTTTTTCTAAAAGCCTTTTGATAAATTTTAAACTGGATCAGTTTCTGTCTCTCCCACCTAAAGGATCCTAACTCACACCCATATTAAGTAACATAACTTGTAAATTCAAGGCTTCCCCAATGTGGGAGATGTTGGTTACCCCAGAAGATTAGAGCTCGATGCTTCTGATGACAAGGACACAGATTTGATAGCAGAATAGAATTAATTGTGCTGTTCCCTAGCATTCCAGAAATAAAATGTGCAAGAAATGTCCACTTTTCTGTTTTCCTTTAATCAAATTAACTCTGATTCTGCACTGGCATTGTGGAAAATTCCAATGGAAGCATTATTTTTCACCTCTATTTCTGTCCTCCCTCCACTCTCTCCACCCTGGAGGCACAAAAGAATTAGGGAAGCTTACTCATGTCTAGACCACTGGGGAAAGGCTCTGTAATCTCCAAGTTGTTATTGTTCAATTCTGCTTTATACTTTCTCTTAAAGTCCCTGACTCTCTGCTTCTTGCTAAGAGGAGAGTACAGAAATCTGTGCTGAGGTTAAAGGAAGCTTTGCTCCCTGGGTGTAGTTAACCCTTCTGAAGTTGTGGTATCTTTCTGGAAAAGGAAAACTCTTGAAGCAGGCTCAAGTATCCAGTCGGGTAATCATGGGACCTGTAAAGCATTCAGTTTCTCTCTATTCTCTTCAGGCCTCCAAGGCACCCCCAGGCATGTTTTCATGCAGTTTAGGCTTTTGTTTTTTTTTTTTTTATTTAAAAAAAAATTTTTTTTTTCGACGTTTATTTATTTTTGGGACAGAGAGAGACAGAGGATGAACGGGGGAGGGGCAGAGAGAGAGGGAGACACAGAATCGGAAACAGGCTCCAGGCTCTGAGCCATCAGCCCAGAGCCTGACGCGGGGCTTGAACTCCCGGACCGCGAGATCGTGACCTGGCTGAAGTCGGACGCTTAACCGACTGCGCCACCCAGGCGCCCCTAGGCTTTTGAATAGACCATAAGAGTGACTCCCACTTCCAATTCAGATTTCCACCTTGCAAAAACTCCCCAAAGATCTTTTTGGCCTTTCTATTTGTGGCATAACATACATAACAGAAACTTTCCCACTTTAACCATTTGTAAGTGTACATTTCTGCGGCATTAAGTACATTTGCATTGTTGTGTACCCCAAAGATTTAAGAGATTCTGGTGATTGAAATGGGGAAGGATGACAATAGAAATAAATACTTTATTTGAAACATTGTTCTTTCATTACTTGTTGAGTGAATGGGGCAAGTTCCATAATTGCTAATTTTCAGTAGCAACGAGGCATTATTAGTATACTAGGTTCTTATTTATTTTTAAGAGAGGTGGGGGGGGGGGAGTGGAGAACATGAACAGGGGAGGGGCAGAGAGAGAGGGAGACACAGAATCCAAAGCAGGCTCCAGGCTCTGAGCTGTCAGCACAGAGCCTGACACCGGGCTCAAACTCTCAAACCGTGAGATCATGACCTGAGCCAAAGTCAGATGCTTAACCGACTGAGCCACCCATGTGAACCAGTATACTAGGTTTTACGGTATAAGAGGATGATGAGGAGAAAGGGTGGCTGTAAAGAAACTTGGAGAAACTAAAGAAAATTAATGTGAAACTTGGAGAAACAACAGAGCCAAATTTTATGTTTCACAATACTCATAATACCATTTAATGTTTCTGAAGCAGAAGTAGAATGAAGAATTTTTCTCCACTCTGCCTTGTGCCAGGATCAGAACAACGTTCCTGCATTGTGATGGATATGTAAATAACTTTCAGAGAGAAAGTCTCAAATCAAAAGTAAAGTTTAATTTTATAAATTGCCATAATGCCTTTTGATATCTAAGCAGTGTATTACTAAGGGATGCAATCCACAGAAGAGTTAGTATTAAAAATCTTAAAATTATTACGAATTACAGTGGGGGTGATAAGGGGCAAGGTGGACAGGAGGGCACCAAAATAAGCCCAAGTGATTTAGCACTGGCTTGGCCTAGAAGTTTCTTTTGGGAATTTGAAGAAGTCGTATCCATTTACTTATTCACGAAAATTTAGTTAAGTGCCTCCTCTGTGTAAGGCACTGGGGATACAACAGTGAACAGGTGAATAGTTTCCTTTCTTTAATACAGCTTACATTTAGGTGTATTTTAATTCTGAATCGTGAATCCTAGAGCACCATACATCGAATGAAGCAGTGATCCCAAGGAGCCATGATTCTTCACAAACTGCAGCAAAAACAGTATTTTAAGATTTCTATTCTTGGAAGCTGGGTCCTCTTACCAGTTCTGGGCAGGTGGGATGCAAAGAGATTGCCCGCCGAATATATACACAGACTTTGTGTTTGGGCTCAGCAGTTTGGGACTGGAACTCCAAATCACACCTGCAGCTCTGAACTAACCCGACCTAAGAGGCACATAGGAGTACAGGAGAAAAAATACTCCATGAGAGCCCCGGGAAGGCGCAGCTACCCCCAGCCTGCAGCAAAAGGCCATGGACTACAATTCCCACATGCCCTTGCGACTGCCCCTCCCGTCAGCACAGCTTCGAAGTATGGGAAAGATGGAGGGACGTCGGGCGCACTCTTGTTGCGTCATTAGCGTGCGACTCCAGCTACAAAACTGGTCTGGGTTGAAAAAGTATGGCAGCTGCTGAGGCGGCGGTGGTATCGTCATCTTTGGAAACAGACACGGCCCGGGTCCCTGAAACTGCAGGAGCAGCCGCAGCAACGGCCGCCACCTCATCAGCGACGGCTGCAGCCGCGGCGGTTGCGGCCGCCGCCAGGACCGGATCCGAAGCCACGGCCTCCAAGGCCGCCTTGGCTAATAAGCTGCTGTCCCTGAGCGGCGTGTTCGCCGTGCACAAGCCCAAAGGGCCCACTTCAGCCGAGCTGCTGAATCGGCTGAAGGAGAAGCTGCTAGCAGGTACCGCAGCCCGGGTGGGGACCAGGCTGAGGCGGTCGTCGCGAGAGCGGAAGCCGTAGAGAGCCAATGGGCTTTTTTTTTTTTTTTTTTTTTTTTTTTTTTTTTTTTTTTTTTTTTTTTTTTTGCGCGTTTGTGCCTCAAGAAATAAAAGGAGGGTAAAGGGTAGGATGACCACTGAATTAGCCCTGGACAGACATCTGGGGCATCTCGAGCTTGGACTTGCCCTGACGTGAACTCCTGTAGCCTGGTTGGCAGTTGTCGTTCTCAAGGGAAGAACAAAAAACAAAACACAAAAACCCCACACTTACACAAACACATCTCTTCCCTTGGGCAGGCCGGCCAATATTCTGTAATCTGATCATCCAGGAGCCTTTTCTTTGGTTCACGTTGATGAACCTCTCCTGAAGGCAGAACTGGCTCTCTACCCCCAAAGTTGCCAAAGTTGCATCCTTAAAAATAGTTTGGATATGCATATATCACTTAATTAACCAAGGCTTTAATGCAGTGGTTTTCACATAGTGGGCATAGGAATTATTTGGAGTCCCTTGTACAAATGCAGATTCCTGAAACCCGGAGATTGTGATTTTGAGGTTCTGGGGTATTTTTAGGAAACCATTTTTAAAGTGTTGTTCCAGGTGATTCTGTTGTAGGTAGTCTGCGGACCGCGTTTTGAGGAACACCATAACTTAAGAGCATTCTTTTTGTTTCTTCACGCGCACTGAGGGAATATCAGAAAAGCCTGCAGGATATCTCAGTTCATCAGCCCAGTAGATTATTTCAGACAGTGGCATCCAGGAACCTTAGATTTATTGGACACCTACATTAAGCCAGATCTATGCTAGCCTATAGAGAAGTGAAGGTGAAAGATACTGTCTTTTCTCTTAGCTGTGCTCAAAGCATAGACATTCCTGCAGCCTTTGGTGATAAAACTATTTGGCAAATTCAAGGCTGTCCTGAATTTGGCTCTGGCCTGTCTTTCCACACGGGAAACTTTCTTCTTAACATTGTTTGGAGTCCCTTGGCAAAGTTTATTATACTTTTTTTTTTTTCATGCAAAAACATTATTCTTATAGGAATTTGTTAATTAAAATGGACACAATCCAGATTCAGATGTTTTTTTTTTTAATTTTTTTTTTCAACGTTTATTTATTTTTGGGACAGAGAGAGACAGAGCATGAACGGGCGAGGGGCAGAGAGAGAGGGAGACACAGAATCGGAAACAGGCTCCAGGCTCTGAGCCATCAGCCCAGAGCCCGACACGGGGCTCGAACTCACGGACCGTGAGATCGTGACCTGGTTGAAGTCGGACGCTTAACCGACTGCACCACCCAGGCGCCCCAATCCAGATTCAGATATTTAATGGCAGTAGGTACACTCTTGCGGGATGTTTAATTGCCGTGTTCTATCTACTCGTTCTTTTGTTCCACTTTCCTTGCACTTTGTTACCTGTAAGAATGGGTCTTACAACAGGGAATGTTGAAGGAAGGAAATGCATCCAGAGCAAGCTTTGTGGTGTCATCATAGGGTTGTTTCCCTCATAGAATTGCTTTCATTTGGCCTGATTTGTTAGCTACACTGTGACTCAGACAGATTTTCATATGATCAAAGCCATACCCCTGCCTTCTGGTGAATCTGCCTCCAAGCCACTGAAGTTTCTTGTTGAAACTTGGTTAAAACATTGTTTCAAGACTGCGGCTAGGCTATCTTCCAGAAGCCTGTCACTCGGGTGCAGATATTCTCATTACTCCATTTCTATATTGCTTTGATTGGTCTATTCTGTATTTATGTTAGCTAGACCAGGCTTTCCCAAATGCCATTGTAACTGGCTGTCAGAATTACCTGGTAAGATTCTAAAAGACACAGATTCCGAGGCACCACATTCTGATGCTAGCCAGGTTTGACACCCGCTCATTTAGACCACCGTTAATGGAAATAGCCTCTATTAACATTTCTGGCCTTTCCCTATAGTGATTCATATTATACTAAAGTCCTTCCTCTTCTTTGTCTATCTGAATCCTTCAAGGCCCAAAACATTGGGAAAGACCTTAACAAATATTCTTCCATAAATGTTACCAATAAGGTGAACAAAATTCCAATAGAGGTGGTGTGTCTTTGAACTTGAAAGAGGCAAATTTGGACACAAAGGGAAGAAGCAAACTTGGGGGCCTTCTTACTCGAAGGAGTGTCAAGTTGAAAAATCCAAAGAGTTCTCCAAAAGTTTTCTATAAACTTATAGATGAGAAATCCATAATGCATTACGAGTGAAAGGTGAAGGGTTCGAAACCTGGACCTAGGCTTATGGGTTTGTGTTACAGCAGCAGCCATGCCTTTCCAAACATGGTGATATAATCAGAGAGGGGCCTTAGGACTGTGTTCTAACACACTGTGTTCTGTAATTACGTGGTCAGGCTGAGCAGCCCAGCACATCTTTTGGCCATCTAAATTTTTTTTTTTTTTTTTCAACGTTTATTTATTTTTGGGACAGAGAGAGACAGAGCATGAATGGGGGAGGGGCAGAGAGAGAGGGAGACACAGAATCGGAAACAGGCTCCAGGCTCTGAGCCATCAGCCCAGAGCCCGACGCGGGGCTCGAACTCACGGACCGCGAGATCGTGACCTGGCTGAAGTCGGACGCTTAACCGACTGCGCCACCCAGGCGCCCCCATCTTTTGGCCATCTAATCTGGCTTCTCCATTATTGTTCAGCTTCCCTTCTTTTCCTTTCTCTGTTCCCTCTTTCCATTTTCTTTGGCTCTCTTTTTTATCTTCTTGGTGTCAGTGGTTATAAGGGAAGTTTGATGGGTTTGGGAGATGGCGATCAATAGAGCTGTTCTGCTCCTGCCCTTTCTCATTTGAACTTTAGTAGCCAATATTCTATCAATATGTTGATATATATAACAATAATACTGCTGAAAATAATAATAATTTATTGTCAGAATGTCTTGTGGTTTCCAAAGCACTGTCAGATAACATGATTTCAGTGTATCTTTACACTAGGAGGATGAGAGGGGCCGGGTTGGCATTTTCTTAAGTCTCAATGCTTCAGAGGTTGAGAGGCAACCTAACTGTTACCCACTTCCCACATAACCTTTTGTTGAGATTAGCTTCTTGAAGGAATAGTGAGGATTTTGATTTGGAGCAAAGGGCAATGAAGATACTTTGGGAACTTAGCATTCTTAGAAGTAGCCGTGTGAGAGGTACTCCCGACATTAGGTAACTGGGGACACCAGCAAAGAATACCAGGAAACAAGAGAGAATTAGAAATGAAATTGAGGACCTGTAAAACTAGCTGCCTATGTAAAAACTAACTTCTTTTTATCATTCTCCAACAGCTCACTATTACTAGGAATTTACTAGGTGTTTCAGCGTTAGCCTGGATCTTTGCTCATGTTTAAAAATTTTTTTTCCCTTCGAAAATGAATTCTAGATTCTAAACAACTAATTTTGGGATACTATTTCTTTGTAATTTAGGGAGTGTCTGTACATTTTTAAGTATGTTCTTTGCTAGTAATGTTATCATCTTAATCTGTTAAGTTTCTGTAGTACTTTTGTTTTGAGTATTCCATCTACCCTCACCCCTTATTATAGAGATTCTATTTCATTTTTCTTGCTAATTGCTATTTCTCATCTCAATTACTTTCATAGAAGCTGGAATGCCTTCTCCAGAATGGGCCAAAAGGAAAAAGCAGACTTTGAAAATTGGACATGGAGGGACACTAGACAGTGCTGCCCGAGGAGTTCTGGGTAAGAGATGTGAATGGAAGTTTGATGTAACTATCACTTATTATAGAAAGAAATATTGGAGTGCCTGGATGGCTCCGTCAGTTAAGCATCCAACTCTCGATTTTCAGCTCAGGTTATAATCTCATGGTTCATGAGACCAAGCCTCCGTGTGGGCTCTGCGCTGACAGTATGGGACCTGCTTGTGATTCTTTCTCTCCCTCTCTGCCCCTTCTCGTGTACACATGTGCTTTCTCTCTCTCTCTCAAAATAAATAAACTTAAAAAGAAAAAAGGAAGAAGGAAATATTGATTGAGAACAGATAAGATTGACTAAAGCTGTGCCATTTCCAGTCTGCTTTGGAGTATTTTAGATCTACTGGATTTATAATGCCGTCTTCTAAAGAAGCTCTGAACTGGTACAAACTGTTAGAAACTTTTAGAAATAGCCACTTTTGTGTGTGGATGGGACTTTGAAAAAGGGTGTTGTATCTGTGAAGAAGAGCTAACATGTAACATAGCAGGTCTGAAATCGCTGTGTTTAGAAAGGCCTGCTTACAAGGCTTGCCCTTGGAAGGCATCTGGGAACTTGGATTTTGAGAGTGTTCCCTCCCTTCTCTATCTGATAAGGGTGCTTGCTGTCCCTCGGCTGTTGGTGTGAACAGTGTGGTTTATGTTGAACACCTGCTTTCCTTTTAGGAGTCTGGAATTTTGTCCTTCCACTCAGGCAGATGTGCCTGAGTAGCCATCCCTCTCATCCCCTCCAATAAGAACTTTGGGTGCTGAGTTTCCGGCAGGCTTCCCTGAGTGGGAACATCGCACACATGTTACTGCTGTTTACATTTTGGAGGAAGGAGCATGCTCAAGTGTCCCGCTCATAGGAGGAAGAGAGAATAAGGAAACCGATGCATGAATTCCTCTGGTGTCCTTTTCCCATTTGATCCTGCTGTGTAACGTTACTATGTTACATTGTAAGTCTTAGCCATGTATTGATCTTCCAACATGGAGTGTGGTCATGGGGATTCCTGATAAGACATTTGGCTCTTTTTTCTGCCTATATCACATTTAATCTCAGAGTACAGCTCTCTTGAGAAAGTGAGCCTTATGGTTCCTGAGAGGAAGTCACACTTTCTTTTGGAGATATAGTGAGCATTTTATTGTTTGTTGAGGCAGATTGGTAGAATTGATTAACGGGAGAAAAATAATTTATCCCTATTTATTTATTTATTTATTTATTTATTTATTTATTTATTATACCTCTGGTAGAGGTTCTAAAGTTTACCTTCATGGACTGCTAAAGTGGGTATCCACATAGTTTATGTGGTACAAACTTTTTGTA